GGGCAACACCTAAGAGCAGCTGTTTGTTTGCTGGGAAACATTCTGCTTAACATTGTAAAGATTTGTGGGCATGTCACGAAGATCTCAATCACTCAACATTGGGGTTATTTAATGCCATGCGCCTGTGACGTTATTTGACTTATGGATGGTGGAAAAGAATTGACGGGCGGCTGTGCTTCTGTTGCCAGGAGGTTTTGGTTATTTTGAGCTGTAAGATAGGAATTTCTTAGGATAACACTTCAACGACCGCGTGACCGTGGGCCACACGACTTCGCCCCCGCTTCGTTGAATTTGTTTGGCGTTTTTAGTGCTCAGCAGTGGTCCATATACGATTTCGGGTCCGAAACAATGTGTTCATTATCGATGATAAAATCATTGAAGAGTCAAAGACTACTGAAAATATGAAAAAAGGTACCGTGGTATACGCACAATGGCGGTAGTCAATGTGTTGCAAGAGGTGCCTTTAATGAGTTCTTGCTGACTTTGGAAGAAATGACCCAATCAGAGAATGAACTAAGCTTGAGGGCTTTCCGTAAGAACGCACTGCTCTGATCTTCTGCCATGAGGATTCGAATTCAATCATTCATTTCAGGACATGTGATCTTCGGTGAACCGATCGCTGCCGGTTTAGCTGTCGACGGTTCGCACTACTATGACAAGGTACAACAAGGAGCCACATTTTTAAAAACGCTTTTTTTGAGAAAGGCTAGTCGGGTTAGGTCCAAGTACAGTAAGAGATTGGAGGAGGCGGTGAGACCAAACACGTCCCATCAATATGGTATCATTAGAAATGGCCTTTTAAGAATCGCACAGGGTTAACCATTGCGTTGGGTAAGTTTCGTGACCACGAGGTCCTCACTCGGAGCGGGTTTCCGTACGGAATCCCAAAAGAAGATAGCTTGCGAAATGCTTCACTCAAGATATCCAGTAGTGGTGAGCATCACAATCATGACATCACGTCGAAGGAATACCTCACCACTGATTTGGGCCTAGGTCTTATGAGCGGGCGATTCCCTTCCCTCTCTTCCCCCCAACCCGCATCCCCCCGCTGCTACTTCACACAGCCGAAACCATGCTCAATCGGCGCTTGTATAGCCTTTGTGGGTGTCATCACAACAATGACCTCAATATCACGGTTCTGTCAGCAGTTGCTTCCTCCTACATATTAGCGGCCTTCATTCTACGGACAGACAGACAGATAAACCCTCATACAACAGACAGACAGACACACCGTCAAACCGACACGCTAAGGTTTTATTTACTTACCTACTTTCCTCCGACGTTATGCTTCCGGGCACGCCAGAAACGCACGGTCGCCGGATTTTCAACACTGTGTTCGGCTTTTCTGCACAGAGTTTGCTATTGATTTTTAGGAATCGGATCTGCCATCGGGGGGGGGTCTGCCAGTGGGCCTTGTTTTCCCCTTGGGTACCAGTCGATCTCTTGGTCCAGTGATTATCAGCGAGTCTAGCCAAGGGAGGTTCATATAATAGAGGGATCGAGTCTTATATTGGAAAAAGGTTTTTGCAGGGTACAGGAAGGTGTTGTATTCTTGTCTGTGTCCGTAAACCCATAAATACTTTTTCTTAGGACTGCGGTGCCGTTGACCGCTTCAGTACGTCATGTTTCATCCACCGTTGAGCCGAGATCCGTCGACTCCAGATGCTCTCATGGATATGTTGGCAGCGTAGGTTTTCGTCTATAAAGAAGCACATTTCAGTCTCCAATTTCTTGACAAGAATCGTTCATTTTCAGTGGTGAATTACACTTGACCGGAACCGACAACTGCACTTTTAATTGTCAACAAAAATTAGTTGGCCGTGATGATTTCACGAAAATTCCCAATGGTGTGAACGGTGTCGAGGATCGCATGAGTGTGGTATGGGATCGAGGAGTTTATACCGGAAAAATCGATCCAATGCGATTTGTACAAATCACAAGGTGAGTACCTAACGAACGTCACATATCGACGTAGAAACTAGGCAATGAAGGACGTTTTGCAATCAAAGTGAAAAGTTTTTTTATTTAAAAAAAAATATTATTGGGAATTAAAAAAAAAAAAAAAAAAAAAAAAAAAAAAAAAAAAAAAAAAAAAAAAAAAAAAAAAAAAAAAAAAAAAAAAAAAAAAAAAAAAAAAAAAAAAAAAAAAAAAAAAAAAAAAAAAAAAAAAAAAAAAAAAAAAAGAAAAAAAAAAAAAAAAAAAAAAAAAAAAAAAAAAAAAAAAAAAAAAAAAAAAAAAAAAAAAAAAAAAAAAAAAAAAAAAAAAAAAAAAAAAAAAAAAAAAAAAAAAAAAAAAAAAAAAAAAAAAAAAAAAAAAAAAAAAAAAAAAAAAAAAAAAAAAAAAAAAAAAAAAAAAAAAAAAAAAAAAAAAAAAAAAAAAAAAAAAAAAAAAAAAAAAAAAAAAAAAAAAAAAAAAAAAAAAAAAAAAAGTTTCATTATTTAGGAACCATGGTATAACTTCGTATAATGTATGCTATACGAAGTTCTATGTAAGAAACATTAAAGTCGCTGAGGCTGCCACTGCGACAGCACGCAATGTGACTTAAAGACGAAAAAGCACTTCTTTCGAATTGAGTAGAGGTGGTAATTGGTGCAGACATGAAGAAAAAAACTGTGGAGAGCGGCCCCAACCCGAAGTAGTGATCCATCGTCGCCGTGATTTCACATTGATGCGCTCTCGCGGTGAGTTTACTACCGACGGGTGCGTAGAGGCGCGAGTTAGGCGCGGCACGGCTTGCTGAGGTCAATGGGAATACCCTCGCTGGCGAAACGTCATGGGCCGCACGTTGAGGGTGCCCGATCGCTTACAAACAAGGTATTTCACTTCTTCTATTTTTGACTCGACATTGGAGTACTCCTTTGACAAATTCGATTTACTCAATAGCACACGTAAACTAGCAAGGATCGTCATCCAGGAAGATTAATCGTGACCGGTTTCTTTCAACGAACTCTTTTGGAGAAGCGGGCCAAAGCAATTCTAGCGTTGAAATTAAAGCCAATAGTCACAGAGATGGACGGGCGAAATATTCTGGCTATTGTGGTAGTCGCGTGTTCGGTCGCGGCGCAGCCGACACGTTATCAACCACGCTGCGCCTCGATCACGTACGACGAAAATTGAGTATTAAGCTTATATAATTATGAGAGTTATAACCTATAACTTCCACAATTATAAGATATTATTAATATTTCTAATATAGCCTAAGATTGGCTATGGAAGGAAGTTGAATATCCGTTCACTCCGACAACGTTTTCAGTTCGACAGCTGCAAAAATATTCAACATTTATCCGAAGAAAGGTCGAGTCGCTGTCGGTTCAGATGCTGACTAGGTTATATGGGATCCTGATGCGACCCGAAAAATCTCGAAGGACACTCATCACCAAGTACTTTTATTCTTTTTTAATTCCCCAGAAAGTTTCACTTGATTTTCTTGTCTAGGCCGTGGATTTCAATATATTCGAAGGAATGGTGGTCCATGGGTGTTCCCTGAACCACAATTTTCCAGAGAGCAAAGTGAGTTCTTTTGACATCTGCAACTATTTCTCCGCAAGCGGCCAAGCAGGAACTGGAGAGTAGCCGTATTTTCATTATTCTTTTTTTTTCAGGTTGTTTGGTCCAACAACACGCTAACCACAGAAGCCGGCTCCGGTCGATTTATACCACTGGCTCCATTTGCTCCATACGTGTTCGCCACGATACCACAACGAGCCAAGGTATACGCTAGAAAACTTTCGCGATTCTGAAAACTCCTTTTGCCCTCAATCATAAGGCGCAAACTGGGAAATGTCATTAATCACGCGTCGCGCGTGAATCGATTACTACTCTCGAAATATTCGAAAATGGTCTGGTTGGTCGAAAAATGTCGTGAGCAGCCTAAGGCCGATGTCAGACTTTGCGAATCGCGCGATTCGCTAGCGTCTGCGGTCGCGTCGCGGCCAGTGAATCACTCAATTGGCTGGTACCGCAACGCGACCGCGGACGCTAGCGAATCGCGCGATTCGCAAAGTCTGACATCGGCCTAAGATAGATGTCAGACTCGGCGATTGTGCAATCGCGACAGCGTTGCGGCAGTCTGCTGCAGAATGGCCGAGTGGGGCATGTCGTTGTTGATTCGTATGGTTTGCGTTGATCGCGCAGTCGCGATTGCGCAATCGTCGAGCCTGACGGTCACTAAAGGACTAATCGATTCAGGCAATGGCTCCAAGGGCTGTGGACAGAAGCAAACACAAACGGAGATTATATGAACAACAACGAATGCAAATGGAATCAAGATTCAAAATGAGTTCACTAATGCGATCAACAAGAACAGCACTCCGAAGACCACCGCCAGGAGGAGCTAGCAGTATTCAGTTTTTCTAATGATAGTCAGCTATTTTTCACCGTGTATTCGACATGGCTCTCTGATGGTCTCTGTCAACCGTTGAATTAATAGATTCTGATTGAGTATTGTCACCAAATTACGAAAGGGAGTGAACGTATGTTTCTAGCTGAGACAAAATAGTTTCTGTTGGCCGGTTCACGAATCTGCTTGGCTGAAACCGTGAAACCGTGCCAATGCGGAATACTAGCCGAGATCTTCCTTTCTCGCGAACTGGGTAACACGTCCGTCATATGTGGCTTATTTTTTCCACGAGAATTCATTCTCACAGAAGAACAGTGAAAATGTATTCGAAAAGCGCAGCCGCGCTAGAGTCGGACCGCAACCGTGAGGAATCGGTTCCCTGGCAGGGCTGACAAATCGGCGCCCGCAACCGCCCGTCGTGTCGAGGACGTGGATCAGATCAGTACGACCCCCCTCAGATCGGGATCTTGATACGACCCCTCTAACTTTGATTTGATGTGAATAAGCGAGTTCCATCAATGCACAGCAAAGCATTCAGTTGCAGCGCGGTTTATCCGTGGGTCAGATTTGCCGAAACCCCGCTCGAAACCGTCGAAATCTACACTCTCGATGAAAAGGTTCCATTCCCCCATTTCATAACCTTTGGAGCAGTATGTGGTAGGGTTAGATAGAGCTGGATTTGCTACTACCGGGCAATATTGAAATTGATCTAAAAGCTTTACACTCGAAGAGATAGGGTCTCTCAAATTTTGTCGGCAGCGTCGAGGATGCTGAAATTTTCATGCGAGTTTTTGCCACTTAAAAGGCAATATCTCTCTAATTTCGCAAGATCTTAAAAAGGAAGACAGTTTTGGAAAGCGGAAGGTTTGCGCTTTCTAACAGTCTGTTTAGCTTTCTTCTACATTTCTAGTTGAGGAGATATTTGCGTCGAGGATCTATCGAGGATGATTCTCGGCCGCTCAAAAAGCCGCTCCCTTCTTCACCATTGCAAGTGTAATTCGTTGGCAACGCTCGAAATGTGTCTAGAATACATTCAACATAAGCAATAAGAAAAGGGGCAATCGTCATCGTCCGATTTTGTCTCAGTATAGGCCATGCATCCGACCTCCACTCAAGTTGTAGAATCTATTGAAAGGTGTTATACATATGATGACCTGTTGACAGAAACTGTATTGTAGTAAACACATTTCGTAACTCCCGTATCCTAAGGAACAGCTTCATTCGCTGACTCCGGCTCCTGACCCGATAAGTCCCAAAACTGTGGTGCCTTTGACTACGGAAGTGGACCACATGTGTACCAACAGTGGTCGAAGGGTTGAACAAGGGCTTCCGCTCTTCCCCCTTGAAATGAAGGAGGGCCGTGTGCGGACGAGTTGCCTGGACTCGCTTGTTCCATGGCTCACCTAACTTGCGCGTATTTGAATTTGCCGCTACGTCGTAATCCACGTTGCGTGCCATGGGATGTGCACGAGGTATCTCGTCCATTAGCTCACATTAGCAGTCGTTAGCTCACTTTGTAAGGCCCTAGCGCCATTGACGCGCATTCGAGCCGCGACAACGACAACTGTGATATTAGTGGCTACTCAGTGCTGCTTATGGAGTATATTGTTTGACACGACTTCAGCTGGGGTTGTTGTGTAAGCAATTTTCCTTCTTCCCCTCTCCTAAGCCCAGTTCGCCCAACAGTGCCCCACCCGACGGCACCAGCTCCCTCCACATCGATGATGAATGTGAAGGCTCCTTGACATGAAAAAAGACTTATCATTCTTGATATCACTCGTTGTTTTTCCCGCATCGTCATTATTCTGGTAGGTTGGCTCTTCAGTTGTGAATATTTATCCCACTAACAGGTCGGTTCGACTGTTCCAAATTGTGGGGAATCTACTGAGCTTGCGTTTTCCGAAAACCTGTCGCCTTTATTGATCTCTCTGCTAACGTCTTTAAATTGAGCTAGATGGCGTTGCTCATAAAAAATGGAACCATTGTGAATGACGACGAGATGTTTCGTGCCGATATTCTGATCGAGGATGGCACTATAGTGTAAGTTTGTTTCTCCATCGAACATTATCCGAAACTGTAACACCTTCACTACAAGTGTCTTTGCAGCACCTGCAGCATAGTCCTAAGCCGATACCAAGTACATGCCCCAACTTGATTTCAGTTAATGTGTAGGGGCTCATTGACTGTCAAAAAAGTCGGGTGTAAAACTGGACGATAGAAAAGAAACAAGGAAAATGTTCAGAAAGCCGCTAAATTTCTTCTGAAAGCTGTTGTAAGCTGTCA